TTCTTTCTTTCTTTCTTTCTTTCTTTCTTTCTTTCTTTCTTTCTTTCTTTCTTTCTTTCTTTCTTTCTTTCTTTCTGTGGCTGACACTGCCCATGCTGGCAGTGGGGCTGGTGCAGCACGCAGTGCTGGGGATTGAACTGTGGTCTCTGTGCTTTGCCTAAGCTTACCTAAGCAGGCACTTTAGACCACTGAGCCATCTCACCAGTCCTGCCATTTAGTTTTGACCATAGTCATTCTCACTGTAGTAAAATGATTATAATCCAACTGCAAGTGGACACATGATCTGAGTACATCTTGGCAAAGATATATAAAGAAATAAAATAGCTAAAAATGCATAAGAAAATATTTAGTATTATTAAGCAGCAAGGAAATGCAAACCACAATGACACTGAATTCTTTTGATCCAAATGATTCATTTTAGAGTATATCAGGATGCTCTTCTGTTTTCATTGAGATTCATTTTCTCATTTGATCTTTGTGTGAATTCTGCAGTGGCAATGTTTTCTAACTCAGTTTTTTAAGCTCTAGTTCTCTAATTCCAAGTTCAGTAACATTCATTTGATCTTTTGAGTTCACTGTCTTAGTTCCCAGTCCTTGCAGCCCTTTCTCCTACCTCGGGTTTTAAAGTCTTTAGACTCTTGAAGACTTGTTCAAATATTTGTTCTCTCTCTGTGTCTTTGTGCCTCTCTTTCTCTTTTTCTCTGTCTCTCTCTGTTCCTCTTTTTCTGTCTTTGTCTGTCTGTCTGTGCCTCTCTCTTTTTTTGGTTTTGCTTCTCAGTGATGGAAATTGCAACCAGGGCCTCCCACATGCTAAACAAGATCTCTACTACTAGCTATACCCCCCATCCTTTTGTATTTTTGGGACAGCTTTCTTGCTAAGTTGCTCAGATTGGCATTGAAATTGTGATCCTTCTCCCTAAGCCTCCTGACAGCTGGAATTGTAGGTATGTACCATCATGTCTGGCAAAGATTCCCATTATCCTGAGCATGTAAGAAGAAGGCATTGTTGTGAAGGCTCTGAAGCCTGGTTCTTGAGTTTCTTCACTCGTAAAATGGGGTAGGACTAAGACTTGATTTAGAGAACTATTGTGAAGATTAAAGTTAATCTTTGCATGGCAAGTAGACATCAGTAATGTCAATGATTACTATCAGAAACTGCAATACACAATTCAACAAGTACCCTATGCAGCCCACAAATCAGTCAACATTCTGCCAGGTGCACATCAAAAGTGATCCAACTCCTTCTTTGCTAAAGTTTGTGGTTAAGGTTGAGACAGATATAAAGGAGGTATGAGGTGTGTGCAGAGTTAGAGTTTTGTACAAGAAGATGTATTTGATTTTCAAATGCTTTATTGAAGTATTATTCAATACATTGCAGAAATATAAAGTATGCAATGTGGTAATCTTTGGCATACATGCACATGACCCATCACCCCAATCACCCCCATGAGGATAGTGAATATGACCAAGATCCTCCCAAACTTGCCCTTTAGAATCCTTCCCCCTTCTCCAGGTGATCATTACTGTGTTTTCTATCACTATGGCTTAGTTCCCATTTTGTAGAATTTTATTGAGTGTAATCATTTTGACACTCACTCCCTGGTTGCATGTAGCATGAGTTCAGTCCTCTCCGTGGTGGGGGATATTCCATCACTGTACAGGGATGTGTTGCCTCTCATATATTCATTTGCCTGCTGGTGGAAATCTGGCTTGTTTTCACCTTTGGCTTTGAACAGTAAAGTTGCGATCACTGTTTCTAAAAATAGGACACTCACTCTGTCTAAATTACCTTGACAGATGTACACAGCCATGAAACTATTGTCACAGTGAAGATACCAAACATGTCTCTCTTTCTCAAAAATCTCCTCACGGCCCTGTGCATCCTACCTCTCTTTCTACCCCCATCGACAGGCAGCACTCATCTGTTTCCTGTCACTGTACATGAACCTACATTCACAAATTTTATGCAAATGGATTGTGCAAAACACATGCTTCTGGGGTTATCTTTTCTTTAGCATACTGACTTTGAAAGTTAGGCATACCGTCATGCCCATAAGCATTTCCTCCCACTTTACCATTGAGTAGTATTCCATTGAATGAGTATACCACAATCTGTTCATGACTTTAATGGATACTGGAGCCTATTTCCAGCTGTTAGGATTGGTGATGGTATTTTTTAACTCCTTTGTGGATGTAAGCACTTTATGATTGTGAATTCTATACAGATTAACCTTACTCAAAGGTGAGGTGGTTGTTCTTGAATGTAGTTTCTTTTGAACAAATGTTTTCATCCTAATGAGCTCTGCAAACCTGTGATTGCCTATATTTTCCCCATTTCTTTTGTCTTTGGGATGCTCAGTGGGAAATTTGAGGCCCTACATAATAGTCTTGCAATTTGTTATTGTATGTAAATTTTATGAGTTGTTGATATCATCCCTAACATAAAAGATAGAAACCAAAAATATGATGCATGCTTAAATTTAAAAATTATTATAATGAAAGACATGTTTTGACTACAAAAATTTTCACTATAAACTTAACACATCATTCTTGTTGCTTTCCAAAGCAGTTCTAGAAGTGTTTTTTCATAGGCATTTTTCATGGCTGGGTCGATAGCCTGAGTCTACTCAAAACATTTTTCACAATTTCTGTACAATTACAAGTTACAAGTACAAACATTATGGTGTGCCCTCAAGCCACCATATTCAACAAATCTGCTACGTGATGACTTCCAACTGTTCCCTAAAGATAAAATAACCATGAAAGGTAAACTTTGGAATTGATTGAGGACACTAAGGAAACCATGAAGGGGAACTAATGACGTTGACCAAAGATTATTTTCAGAACTGCCTTAGAAAGTGGTAAGAAAGAAAGGATCAGTGTGTTCAAAGGAAGAGGGAACATTCTGATGGAGTAATGGCAATACATCTTTTTTATTGTACAAAAAAGGTGAATATTCCTATTTTTGAACCATAACTTGTATTTTATGGTCTCATTATTTTTATCACATGCATAATTTTTAATTATCTATTTTTCATTATGTTGCATATTTTCACAAGACATCTCCAATTATTGTTTATGTCAAAGTATATGTCAAAGAAATATAAAATTTGTGATAATTTCAAAAGCATCAAACTTCCCTTTGCTCCAAAATATCATTTATTTTCTATTTTTCAGGAATATCTTAAGTTCTTCCATTAGAGATCTTTAGTTCAATATATCCTGTTAAGATGAAACAGAGGGAGGGAGGGACAAAGGGAGGGGAGGGAGGTAGAGGGAGAGAGAGAGCATGAGGAGAAGGTGAGGGAGGGAGGGAGGGAGGGATGGAGAGAGAGAGAACAATTTAACCTTGGGCCACAAGAGTGAAATCACTTATGCGAATCTTTCCAGGTAGACAGTTACATGCTGAAGTGGATGGGAGAGGAGTTGGTGTGGGGAGAATAAAATTTGCTGTATAGTGAACAGTAGAAAGATACTGGAAAGGAACAA